TGCTGAAATTATGTTTATGTTTGTGAATTTCAATGGCTTCCCTGTGTAATCTGACATGGTAATTGAAAGTGTTGTCCAGTCTTTCAGTGTCTTGGAACAGTATTTTGAAAGTGTTGTCCAGTCTTTCAGTGTCTTGGAACAAAATAGGACATGGCTTCCTGTCCTGAAAAACACAAAAGGCTTTACATCAGACAATAGCACTACAGATAAGATTAGAATTTCAACAACCTCCTCAGAAAGCAGGGAACCTCCTCAGGAAACAAAAGAACCTCCTCAGGAAGCTCCTCCATTAGCATGTCCATAGCCTGGGGAACTCCTACAAGACAATGACTCAGCCCTTCCCACCTTCTGGAGTAGATATAAATTTACTGCCTACCATTTTCTTCTCACCTTGACATAGAGAGTATTCCATCTTTCTGTGTTTATACCTCTGAGGATGCCAGTCACAGTTACTGGTGAATGTCAGGTTCTACAATGCCAAGACCATGGCCACACATCCCAGAAAATCTACAGCAACTAACGTTTACTGTTCTTCAATCATTCTGGTAGGCTTCCTTACAAGACCTACTTTGGGGGAGTTTCAGCACTCAGTCCAGAGCAGTACATGAAGATGAATGGCTTTCCCAACAACTACTGGGGCTGGGGCGGAGAAGATGATGACATCGCGGTCCGGTAAGGATCTGTGTCAGGTGGGCATTTGCTTTAGAACAGGAGGCAGGTCTGTGTCTCCAGCCATATGAAATGCCACTCATAGCCTGTGGTTGTCAAGGCTGTCATTTATATGACGAATTGGTCAACTCTACAAAGGTTTATGGGAAGGTGTTATACTTGTAGGTGGTGCCCAAGGAAGGATTGTGTTTCCAAAGATGTTGTCTTAGAGCACTGATCTTCAAAATGGTGTCCTGGGGTGCTATATCACCTACAGATGTCCTTCTTGGTGTCCAGTTAATCCTTCATCAGACTATCTCTTTTCCCAAAGCAAAGAATCAGTCCTGGTGTTCTTCCATCTCACTGGGAGTAGCAAGTGCTTTAGAAAATCCCAGGAGCATCCATTTGGAAACAGCTGTCTCCTTCATAGGATGATGGCTTAGAACTTCCCAGTATTTTGTGATTGGCCCCCAGCCTCGTGGCGGCCACTGTGTGGTTGGCTGTGCCTTCTGTGACTATCAGTTTTGATGGTGTCCACTGAAGATTCCAGCAGTATCTATGGGCTCAAAGCTCAAATTACAGAACCCCCTCTTTACCCTAGCACTTGGCAGATATTGGCAGAGACGGATTGAGCAGGGAACCAGGATGGTCATATTTCTGCAGTTCAGAAATGACATTTAATGCCTGTGCCTTGACTGAGAGCTTTTTACTGTATTGGAGTCCACAAAGGCTGATGCCTATGCCTTTTCTTGCAGGGTGGCACTCAGTGGGATGTTGATTTCCCGTCCATCTATTCAGTATGGCCGTTACCGAATGATCAAGCACGGACATGACAAGGGCAACGAGCAGAATCCTAAGAGGTAAGTGTTTGGCAGGGGATGGGGTCCTTCTCCCTTAAATCCTGCTTTAATGAGGCTTTCTTGACCAGTTCCCTCTTGCATTTCTCTTTCCATTCTCCATAGTATTTATTCTCTCCTGAGCATTGGGAAGTTATCTTCTTTTCTGTTAGTCCCTTCTTGCCTGCAGGGTTTTTTTAAAAACCAAGGCCCCATTTTATTATCTACTTTTGCTTCAGCCTTTTCTCTGAACTTCCTGTTCCAGGATTACTTCCTGGCTTTCTGTGTGCCCTTTCCCATATTAAGGGTCTTGATCTCAGCCAAATTGACAGCATTCCACTCCCTCACAGAAGCTGGGCTGCAGACTGTTTCGCTTCACAAGCAACTGAACATTCCAAAGCATTGCCCCAGCTCAGCCAATCGAAGTTAGACTTCACCGCCAACAGTGGAGATACAGATGATGTGGGCTGTTAGGAGAGTCAGTGCGGGGTGTTGGGTATATGGCTCCGGAAGTTAATCAGAAGAAGGGCACCCACCTAGCAAGTCTCAGTAGCACTTTTATTCTTCAAGTAAGAGACAGCCATAGATTTTAGCTACTGAATATATTATCCTTTTCTTGACGGACTCCTTTTTGCTTAGTCGTGTCTTGCTACCTTCATTGCTAGAAAACTATTTTAAAAAATAAGCAAAGAAACCCCCCCCCCAATGCTTACATTTCCTATAAGCAATAGAAAGAACCACTCTGGCAAGGTACATGGGGGGTGGGGTGGTACCTGAATTCTGGCCATCAGCTCCTCACTGTGAATTCCTCCTGCAGATTTAACTTGCTGGCCAAGACACGGAGAACGTGGAAGCAGGATGGCATGAACACGCTGGAGTACCAGCTGCTCTCCAAGGAACTCCACCCCCTCTATACTAACATCACCGTCTTCATTGGCACCGAGAAGGGACTGCGCCATACGTGATGGGACCTACCGCGGAGTGGCACAGGACAAGGAGCCCCGCCCCAGCACCGCTCTCAGACAGAGGAAACCAAAGAATCCACAGTGGGCAGAGAGGCCTGAGCAGCCTGTCTTTTTTTCTAAAGAAACACAAGTGTCTGTCAAAGTGCTGGGGGGTGGGGGTGCTGCATTCCAGAGAACAGATGGGAGCGTCACATGAGACGGGCGCCTCTCCCCCCCCTCCCCAGAATTGCTCTTTTAATCTTGGGGGCTGGGTGGAGGGGGGGGTATCTGACTTCCTGGGATATGGTTTGTGGGATGCCTTTCGTACCTTGGTTGAAGGAATGGCACAGCAGGTTCGCCAGAGAAGCAGGGACTGTCTTACTTCCTGGCTTGAACTCTGCAGCTGCCGCACCAGAGATTGTCTTTCTTATTAAAGTGCAATTTATTTTAAAAAAAAGTGTGTCTGGCCAAGTGTGGTTTCTCTGCTGGGGGGTGGGGTGGGGGGATCAAGCATCGAGGAGGAAGAAATGGTCAGGCAACCCACAACTGTTGGATGAGCTGCACTCTGTTCCAGGATGGGGGGAAAGCCAGCACCACTTGTCTGGTTTCCAGTCCTGATGGATAGGTTAACAAACGAATGCTTAAGACAGTTCTGCTCAGGCAAGGAGTAGTTGTGCTGCAAGAAAGTTGGGCCAAGGTGTTGGTGCCCAGGAGACCCCGAAGGAATGTGATGTTATGAGGGCGTCACTGTTTCGCTGACATCCCCCTCCACATCCCCTCTCCACTCTTCCACTGTAGGAAGGAACTCCAGGCAGATTTCTTTGTTGGGCAGGTAGGTTTGCTGCAGGGCCATGGGCTCGATAGCAGAACACAGGTTTTGAAACAGCCTCCCCCCCCCCCCCCCCCAATGAAAAGATGCCAAACTGTGCATTGGAGAGCAGCTACTGAAGGATTAGCAGTCTGGCCAAGTACAAAAGCTGTGCTCAACTGCTGCTCTGATCCATTCTGCAGCATGAGCGGATCCTATCTGTCGGTCTGCCCAGGAATCCTGGTTACCTGCATTCTCAATAGTTTGGGATTTGTCACAAGTCTCAATGAGCATTCAGCTGTTAAAACTGTCTGTTGGCAGTGGAAAGAGGAACAAATCTATTCATAAAGCTTGTTTTAAAATATGATTTAGACTCAAAAGCTAAATGAGAGGCAAGCTGAGTAAACCATCTTGAACGGCTCTCCAGCTGCCAGTGTTCCATGGCCTTTTAAACTCTTGCAGCCTCCCTGCAACATGAAACATTTCTCCTGCACCATCTTCCAGTCCTACTCCAACTTCCCCTGTTGTTGTTTTCAGGGTTGTGTGAGGAGAAGCAAAGTTAGTTTTTATACCCCGCTTTTCTCTACCTTAAGAAATCCCAAAGCGGCTTACAATCGCCTTCCCTTCCTCTCCCCACGACAGTCACACTGTGAGGGGAGCCAGTTTGGTGTAGTGGTTTAAGTGTGTGGACTCTAATCTGGGAGAACCGGGTCTGATTCCCCCCTCTTCCACTCACAGCTGATGGATGACCTTGGGCAAGCCATAGTTCTGTCAGAGGTGTTCTTGAAAGGAGCAGTTTCTCTCAGAGCTCTCAGCCCCACCCACCTCACAGGGTGTCTGTTGTGGGGAGGGGAAGGGAAAGGAGTTTGTAAGTCACTCAGACTCTGAGTGAAGGGTAGGGTATAAATCCAATCTATTCTTCTTCTTCTAGGTGGGGCTGAGAGAGTGCTGAGGGAGTTGTGAGTGGCCCAAGGTCACCCAGCAGGCTTCATGTGGAGGAGTGGGGAATCACACGTGGTTCCCCAGATTAGAATCTGCCGCTTTCAACCACTATACCAGCTTCCATCCAACAGAGGAGTGATCTTCGACTAAATACGGATTCCCCCCATATCAATGTGAGGAATGAGGCCTTAGTATTAACTGTAAAGAAAGGTTGATTTGGCTGTGAACTTCTATTTCAGAGGGGTAAGGGGAAAGCTTGATGAGTTCAGGGAAAGGTTTAGGCGTGTGGGGAGACTTCCTCGCTGCTCCTTCGGGCACTGTGTAGTGTGAGCTTTCCACATGTTCAAGCTTGCTCATTGCCACAACATCTGCACATAAAGCCCTTTGGATTCATGAAATAATGGATCTTGCCCTATCCCTTCAGCTCCCTAAATGATGAGGTCTCTTCTCCATCAGCTTCATACATAAACCTAAGAGTTCAGTTACAGATTGATTTTTAGCATTTGTACCCCTCCCTCCCAGTCTATTATCAGACAGAGCCAGCTGTTGCTACCCCCCCCCCCCACATCAAAATACCCAAATAAGAATAGCAACTTTGGCCCACACCCTCTTGCTTTTCCCTGTCCTGGCATAACTAGAACACAACCCACTCCTCAAAATAGTAATATTTTAAAAAGTTGTGGTAGGAGGTTAGTTGGGTGCAATGAATCCTCTTGGGTCCTTCCCCCCCCCCCTTTAGGGGGGGGGACCCCGTGTGGTGTGACTTGCATAAACTATGCTTTTCCACATGGCTGGTTTTGTAGAATTTCTCCTACTGCTCCTGGAAAGGTACAAGTTGCTCCCAGGGGAGGCAGCTATACATTTCAACCAGGTTTGGTAGGCAACACAGCTGTAGGAAGTTCATACCTTGTTCTTAAAAAAGGATACGTATGTTTGTCCCAGAACAAGGTACAACCCTGCTGCTATTTTAGAAGAGGCACAGTCGGTTTTGCTGTGCTTCTGCTGGCCCTTTTTTTTTTTTTTTAAAGGTATCACCACAGTGGGTCTTATATGAGAGGTGTTCCTTGTTGGTTGCCACGATTAAATCTCTAGGGAGTGACCCTACTAGTGAATTCTTGTATGAGGCACTCCCTTGCCATGACTTCTGCCTTGCCACTTTGACTTGTGGACATCCATTCTATCATTCCTCTCATTTGATGCCTCTCCAGCTATTGATTCCAATGCAAGACCTGACCAACTCCCATTAGAAGCAATGGGCCAAATTGGTCGCAACTCCACCATAGCTTCCAGTCAGCCTAAATCACGCCAAACGACTAGAGCGCCCTGCTTCCCCACTTATTTTCATAGCCTGAAGAGCTAAAACATTGTAGGGTGGGGTGATGAAAGCAAGGATTTTGAAGATGATTGACATTACACCTAATTTGTGTCCCCCCGCCCCCCATGCATAGTCAGACTATATCCAGTCTTGGCCACAAGATTCCACAGGAGCTGCTAAAATCTCTATCAAGTATCTTTTTTAAAATACAGACAGAACTACCAACAGTTTACAATGGAAATTCAGGTTATGGCTATTCCATGATAACAGCAACTACTAATCCGAGCAGGTTAAAAGCTGCCGCCGCAGTTGGGCTACTCTTTACCAGTTCAGGCAATTACTTTTACACAGGAGACAAGTCACAGGTGAAGTAAAGCTATTGGTTGTCAAGCAGACTGCACGGACTCGCTTCTGAAGGAGACGGAAGGGAACGGTGTGTGGCAAACTGAGCCACAGAAAGGGGGTGTGGGGGTGGCGGCCTGAGAAAGAGACAAAAAGAAAGGGAAAGCAAGAATACAAGAATCCCAATGACCATCGCTTCTCAGCATTTATAATTTAAATGGGCGGAGAGAGAACTAATGGAATACATTCCCGAGTTAAGCAATTCCTCACAAAACCTTGGTTTGGCTCAAACCGTTAACAAACGTAATTCCATTCAGAACCCAAGGCTGGACCAGAAACTACGGCGCTTGCAATGTGGGGTGGTGGTGCTCAGCGGACATTAGGTGCTCCCTTGCCTAGTGCCTAATGAACATTGTGTCTGCTACATTTTCCAGTTTTAAAGGCTCATTTACAGCCACTGCTGACTCTGCCATCTATACTTCCTACCTGGGCACCAATGCCATTCCATTATCTCTGCGCTGCTCCCCCCCCCCCCCCCCCCCCGCCCCCGGCACATACAAGGCTGTTTCTATCGTGCAGTTAAAGGCCAAATTTTAAAAAATAAAGCTGCACCCAGAAAGGTTGGATGTTGTAGCCTGTATACAATATGCAGCTCTGTTTAACTGTTAACAGGGTGGGTGGCCATGAGAGCCATAGGGATATGAAACCCTAACCCAGTGGAAATTCCACTGAGCCAGAACCTTCCTGCACAGCTCCAGCCTGTCCCTGTAGCCATACATTTTTCCCCTTAAAACAAGGTTTGTAGGACGCTGACTTTCTATGCCTTGTATCAAATTATTCCATGCTACCTGTAGAGCAGGCAGGAGGCCTGAGTGTGCATTTACATCTTGCCCTCTTTAGTAGACAGATGGCATACAATAAGAGAAATTCCTGGAGGAAGATAGCTGTGACCAACCACTTAATATTTCCATCCGGGGGTCCCCCACCCCTCCCATTCTGCCTGCAACTGGACATGGGGCCAAATGCCCTACCCCTATGGAACAATGGGCACAACTCGGTTTGTTCTAGTTTGGTGGCCAATCTGTTCCAGAGCAAAAAAGGGTTTACTGCTGCCCTTGTTTTGACCGCATTTTACAGTTCCACCACGCACTGACCGGGTGACTTGAGGCTTCTGTTTGCGAACCAGCAACCCCCCTCTTTTTGTGTGTGACAACAGAGGGCTGCGTGGGTGCTTCAAACCCTTCTGAAAGGAAGAGCCTACCCCCGCCCCTGCTCAACAGGAAAAGAATATGGGCATGCCACACTGCTAATGAGAGCACGACTAAAGCCTGGCCTGATGATAACCCTTGTGGCCAAGCTGTATGGAAAGGAGGCACCACGTAAGCTAGCGAGTAACAAAGTGGTAGGTGTTACAAGGAGACCCGTTCGGCAGGAGGCTCCCAGTCTTGGCTCTTTGTGCTTCGGTTCCTCGCCCGTTCAGTAGGAATTTTGATATTCACGTGAAATCAGTATGATGGTGGTGGTGGGGTTAAGTCAAGTGGGTGAAGGGGGGGGGCAAACCTCACATGAGAAGAAAGAGGGGATGGCTGGGTCACATCCCACATTCTCTGCACAGTTTTCACACTTTCCTACTCAAGAAAGCAGACTCTTAAGGAAAACAGCCTGAGCTCAGACAGAATCCCGTGCAAAGATGCATGCACTCAAGTAAGGCAGAGTTTAAAAAGTTCACAGCCACCATCCAGGCTCGGGGCCAGGTCCCCCGCTCTGCCGCCTTGCTCAGGTTAGAGCAGCAACGTGCGGTGAACAGCCCGACTGTGCCGGAGCATGGACCTAGGCACTGTTTCCCCCCCCTCGTGTACACACGGCAAGAGGCAGGTCCAAGAGGGCTGCACACGAGTCAGCATAAACATTCAATCGTTGGTTGGGGCAACCCTTTATTTCCAAGCGGGGGGGGGGAGGGGGAAGTTTTTAGCAGCAATTCCCATGGGACCAACACAGGCCGCCAAGCCTATCAAAGTCCACATAGTGCACAGGAGTCTGTCTGTCCATCCAAGCACACAAGAGTGTTGAAATCTCTCGCACCAGGGAAGGGAATGGCTGCCAGGCCCATATGCCGCTGAGTGATTCAAGGGGTGGGGTGGGGGTGGGGGAGGCTTGTGGCAGCGGCCAGGAGGGACCACACAAGTCAGAGAAAGCACTGACCAGAGAGAGGGGAGGTGGCACCCGGGCTCTGAGGGTGGGAGGATGCTGGCTCCACATGCTTTCCCCCTGGTACTGTTTCCCCCCTCCCCTCCCCCAACACAATGCTTACCACTTGCAGCAGGGGGGTCCCGGGTAGCAAACAGGACCTGGTCTCTAGGCTGGCCACATGAGCCAGGCAACCTGCCCCCGTCCCACCGTTTAAAAAGTCCTGGCCCACTTGAACTCTCCCGTGCGGAGAAGCGCTCTGTGGGCAACTGGTTCCCTGCCCTACACAGTTAGTCCTGGCCCGTCCAGGCTCTGGTGCAACAAGGGAGTGCTCTCGCCGGGCACTGGCTCCTAGCCTGCCGGGCCAGTCCATCATCAGGAGCTGGCAGCCGTGCCCTGCGGCACGCAGACACCCATCAGTGCAGTCTCATCCGTTTCTCGGTGCCCGCGCCCGCGGAGAGGGTAGTTGAGGCCAAGTCCCTCGGGGCGTGAGCCGCCAGCAGTCCTAGTCCGGAAGGCCGAGGTGCCCAAGTGCAAGGATGAGGAGCCCAGGCCGGTGGGGTTGCAGTCCAGGTGGCGTGGGCCCAGGGACACCTCCATGGCCTCGGGGAGCGGGGGAGACAGCGGGAGCGGTGGGCGCTGGTACGGGGGGTGTCCGGTCGGAGGGAAACATGGCATGGCCTGGCTGGGTGTGGGTTTGTGAGGTAAGATGTGAGGAATACTCTCGTTGTCGCCGCCGGCCCAGAGACGCATCTGCTGCTGAGAAGGGGCCTGCAACAACAACAACAAAAGCAATGCAGATGGTGGCAAAAGGGACACGTACAGAAAGGGGAGAAACGGAGCAGGAGAGGTGTTGCCCAAAAAAGGGAATGGGAAGCCAAGGGTCAGACCCTGGCCCACAACCTACTTGGGGACTCTGCATCTCGCAATCTGCATGCACAGTGCCCATGCTGCCATAGTAACGATTGCTGTAGCGGTAGCCACGGTTGTCGTTGGAAGAGCCACTGGAACCGCCTGTCGGGAGAGAAAGAGGATCAGAGAAGGGGGATGGGGTCAAAAGAATACACGAGGGGAATGGTTCCACAGCTGGGAATGCTGGGGACAGCTCAAGGCCCAGACCCCTAAACCAGGTGGCTGAGATGAGAAAAAGGGGGGGGGGGAGAAGAGCCATAAACTCAGCAGTAGCGTGTATTTCATAGCATGCGAAGCATTACAGGTTTGAGGCCTGGTATCTGCAGTTAACAAGGCTGGCTGGGAAAAGGTACTGAAAACTGCTGCCAGGCAGTATGGGAAATTAGGTCTAAAACATATATACACAAGAGCCTTATACAGTTTGGGGCTTGCATAGCTACTTTACCTGACCACTACAGTGCTCCTGCCAATCTGAGGCTAGATGGATGGAAACCCAGAAAAGGGCCTTCTTGGTCTTGGCACCAAACTGATGCCATTCTCTCCACCAGGAGATCTGTTTGTCCCCCTTCTCTCTCATTCGTATGTTTTTTGTTGTTGTTCTTGTTCAGTCGCACAGTCGAGTCCGACTCTTTGCGACCCCATGGACCAGATCACGCCAGGCCTTCCGGTCTTCCGCCGTCCTCTGAAGTTTGCTCAACTTCATGTTCGTTGCATCTATGACACTGTCTCACCATCTCATCCTTTGCCGTGCCCGTCTTCTTTGACCTTCAATCTTTCCCAGCATCAGGGTCTTCTCCAGTGAGTGCTCCCTTCTCATTTGGTGGCCAAAGTATTTCAGCTTCAGTTTCATTATCTGGCCTTCCAGGGAACAGTCAGGGTTGATTTCTTTTAGGATTGACTGATTTGATCTTCTTGCAGTCCAAGGGACTCTCAAGCTTTTTAAAATGGTTTTCATATGTTTATGTGCATTTTTAATCTTGTGTTAACATTTAATTTTTTGCTGCTTTGGGGAACCAGGTGGAAAGGTGGCTTAAAATGTTTTAAATAAAGACCCACTCAAGGAAGTTTGTAAATCGAGTTCCTTGGTAAGGTTCCTCAACTATATAAGGCAGCTAGTTCTCTTTTGGCGTGATTTCCCAAGATTTTGACAATTGGTGCCACTTTTTAGTGGTTCTTGGGGTCAGCATCTTGAGTTGGGCTATCCTGTGGTTTTAAAATGGTAATACAATTTTGCTTTTATAGTTCCGTCCTATTAAAAATGCTTTGGTGATTTTTTTCTTTCTTCTTAAAGCTAGACGGTGGTAAAAAAGAAAGAAGGATTTTAAAAGGGAAGAGAGATGCATACCAGAACTGGACACTGAACTAGTGGTGCTGGTAGAGTGGCTGTGCTCTGTGCCCAGACTTGGTGAGGTGCTGGCGCTCGTGTTGGTGCCCTCGTCAGCCGTCTTCTTGAAGAAGTTGTGTTGCAGGGCGTAGAAGGGGGTGATGCGGCTACGGGGTTCATAGTCCAGCATGCGCAGCACCAAGTCCTTGAACTTCAGGTAGTCGGAAGGCGAATGACCCTGCTCTCCTGCACGGCGCCCACCTGGGCCCCCACTCTCTACCCCCAGCACTTCATGCAGCCGCCGAGTTCCTGGAACCTTATAATCCTGAAAGGCATTGAAGGGCAGTAAAATTAGCTAGATGAGGGCACAAGACAAGGTGCAGAAAGGGTGGGCAAGCGCAATACCCAATATGTTGGGCAACATGATCAGGGGTGCCCAGAAGGGAAGCAGTGTACAAAGAATCTCTCTTGTCTGTGCCTGGAAATAGGAAACAATACATTTATATGCAACAGGAACAAGTTGGTTTCTGTTCTAAGGAAGGTGTTAAACTCCACAAGCGTGAAGTTGAAAGAAAAAACAACAACAACACAATGCAAAAATTAAGTGTCACAATGCTGAAACAGCCCTGCCTGTGCCTCCTGCACACACCTCCTTTGCTTCCAAGAATTTGATGCAGGAGGTATTTCCTTTGGAGCGTGGCCAAGGACAGCCGCCAATGTAATTTGCACCAAGAAGTTGAAAGAGAAGGTGAGCTGGGAATTTGTTAATCTTGGTTTCTATGCGATCAGCACAAGACAAAACAAGACAAAGCTCTTTGTCTGCGTTTGTGCATTCTTTAGAATGTACAGCCTGTTTCATATTCTTACAATGCGTCCATACTGGCAGTTCTGCCAGAAAGGGCTTGTCTCATCTCTCTATTGGCTGAGTAAGTTCTGGCAGATTGTTGCTGTCAGAACCCATGACCTATGGGCTAAGACGTTTTCACATGCATGGGGAAGAGAACTGAAAAGCTGTTCCTTCTCTCTCAGGGCGCGTGTGTCTGTGCACGCGTGTGACCATGCAAAAGATAGTGCCCTCTGTTCAAATACACCCATTTGCATCCCCCAACAAGGAGGGGAGATCAGATGTTCAGATATTCTAAGTTCTAAGTCAGGTTAGCAACCTTTCTCAGTTTCATTTCTTTTATTAGTCTGCACTGCAGTTCGTAGCCTGTATTCTCTCTAGAACTGTGCCAGCAGAATAAGGCTTGTGTTTATTTAAGAGATAAGAGATTGCCTTGATTGCTTCCTGTGCACCTCACTGTGGGTAACCTTACCGAAGTGGCCGTGGTTTGATGCTCCTCCTGGCACCAATCAGGTGAGGGGGCAAATAACAGGAGTTGGTAGCAGCTACCCAAGAAAAAAGTCCCAAAGCTCTTGAAGAGGGGGCTGGGGAAGCAGGGAGGGATACCTACTGGGATGAGTGGGTTTCCCTCAACAAAAACAACTCCCCCCAAAAAAATTCAGAGCTGGGCTAGGCTTTGCTCATGGGCTGTCTGCCAGAGCTGGGAGTGAGGATGGCCTGTCAGGTGGTGGGGTGAAAATTTTACACTCCCAAATCCTAGTGCAACAACTACACGGACACTGAAAAAGAATCCCTCCATGAAGGGAAGCATGCACCTGATCACTGCTGCAACTCGAAAGGGTATGAGAGGGACAAAGAGCTGACCAGGCTGCCCTTTGGGTCCTGCTAACAACTAGATCACACAGGGTAAGGCAAAGCAGAATTTTCACAGCTCTTCTTGACGTAACTGTTTCTAGATGTTCCAGACAGTGCTTTGGAAATTACAAATGGAAGTACCTGTGAGCTAATGTTAACTAATGAATGATGAGGGGCGCTGAGGGAATTGGCGTGACAAACAGCATACTGTTCTCACCTTTGTCCCCTGCTAATTTGCCCACTGTCAGTTGTTGCATCTGAGCCACACCAGGGGGGGGAAATCAGCAAGGGCTGGTTTCAAAAGCAGAGGATGTTCACAGAAAAATGACATGCACCCCCCCCCCCCCCCTGGTGGCCTGGTGTGGTATGAACAAATGTTTATCATTGGCCTGAGCCAAAAAGACAGTCATCGTGAATATTGGTGGTGGTGGGGAGGAATATGCCCTCAGTCACAGGGCAGCCACAAGAACAGCAAGTGGTTGTTCAGCTTCAACCTGTCAGCCATAAGAAAGACAGCTGCTCAGATTTTCTTCCTTCCTCCTAGAGAGACCCCTGCTATTAAAAATCAGATGCTTGCTAAAACACACGCCTCTTCACTCCCCCACTCTCAAGCCAAGCTCATTCCTGTACCAGTTTTTCTGTATCCCATCTGTATTTTGTTCAGATTCCAGGGCAGGGTCTGTGGCTCTGTCCACATGTAAAGCTTGGACACTTCACCCTCTACCAAGCTCAGATTGCCTCCCTCTTTCTTTGCAAACTGCAGTTAGGTGTTTGCAAAGGAAGTGGCCTAACTATGAGCTGGATCCAGCCAGCTTTCCTTCTCAGTCTCATCCAATTCTCCTCATTCCTACAGCCTCATCCAACATGGCTTCCCTACATATGCAGGGCCCAGGCTTTTGGAGTTGTCCAAGGGAACCCCTTGCTCCATTCTTCATCAGCCGAAAAGCTGGCTCGCTCCAACTCTGCAGTCTATGCCGTGGTTTGCCCAGTTCACACATAACAGCATGTCATGGTTTGTCGAGAAAAAGAGGGGAAGGGAGCACGCAAGACTGGCACGCTCCCAATCCACTAAACGAAGAACATGAATGTCCCAATGTTACCTGTTTCTTTATTCCAATTTTACTTCCTGTAGGTGCTCTCAAAGCAACAGCAATTCTTATACCACAAAATTAACTGAAGCAAATATGAAAACCACAACCATGGAAAAAAGGGGTAAAATTAACAGGGGACCTGATCTATATTCATGGGAAGAGTTGGACAAGAGTCTTTATAACTTAGATTCAAAATGTAACCAGAAACCTTACGAGAGCAGAAATTTAACTGGAATGCCAACTGAGTAGTAGAAACTGACGGCAGCTTGATGCTTTGTGGTGCACATTTCGAGTGCATCAAAGTGTCTACTGCTTCTGGGTCTTTGGAAAGGGCAGGGGTGGCCTGAGTGGGAAAGTGGGCGGATAGCGGGAAAGCTATTAAGAATTACCTTTCTGCCATCTTTGCCCCGCCGGAGGACCCAGCCCCCCTCGGGCAGCTTTTCAAAGTATTTGCGAGCCTTCGGAGCCTGCTCCAACATGTGAGGGGGCGGCAGCCCCAGCACCTCCACTATCCGACTCATCTGGTCCGCCTGCAGGGAGGAAGCAAGAGAAAAGGAGCACCGGGAAGACACCACCCAGCCCCCCCCCCCCCCCCCCCCCCCCCCCCCCCCCCCTGCAGCTCTCCTCCTCACCTCCCATTGCCAACTTCCTTATCTGTACAGGGACCTCCCCAAATCCATCTACACAAGCTTTCATTCCTCTGAATCATGGATTTTAAAAAATGCTGCCTGAGAAGCTTCCAGTTACCCTGCTGTTCCAGTCAAAACGTGAAGAGTTTGTCACTGCACTCCCTTACCCTCATTTGTCTAGACGACATGATGCTACCCAAAAGGAATTCAACAGCCACCCTGGCCAAGTTCTGGCTGCTGAAGCTAGCCTTCTGGAGCAAACCTCTCCAGGGGGCAAAAACTTCTCTCTAGCGTTCTCTTTCTTTTCACCAAACAAGTTATTAGTGGCAGTAATACTGTCCTTTCTCTCAACTGGTCATTCTTCCCCTATACGTGAACACATGAAGCTGCTTTATTCTGAGTTAGACCCTTGAAGTCAATGCTGTCTGCAGGTCACCACCTACTGATACTACTGGACATGCTGGGGGCAGCTGAACCTGGGACTTTCTGCATGCAGTGCGGATGTCTCTACCACTGAGTCGCAGGCCCTTCCCTTATGAACGTACAAAGTTGCTTCCTACTGGGTCACACCCTTGGTCTAGCAAGGTCAGTATTCTCTACTCCATCGGGCTTCTCCGGGGTCTCAGGTACAGGTTTTTCACATCACAGACTACCTGATCCTTTAACTGGAGATGCTGGGGATTGAATCTGGGACTTCACAGTGAGCTATGGCCCTTCCCTTCTATGAAACACCTGCTTACCTCATTGGCACCACTGAAGAGTGGCTCTCCTGTGTGCATCTCCACCAGGATGCAACCTAGGGACCACATGTCAATTGCCAGATCATAAGGCATGCCCAGTAGCACTTCAGGTGAGCGGTAAAATCGGCTCTGGATGTACTGGTAGATCTGTGGGGACAAAAAGACAAAATCCCATCAATCGGTCCATTCAAGGGACCAGATGCTCATGGCTCTCTTTCTCCAACTCCCTCGTGCACTGAACGCTGGGTGGGACGAGCTCTGCACCTTCTTATGCTGACAGTGTCCAGCTGGCCAGGTTCCAAGCTGAGAAGAACCCCTGAGAATGAGGGAAGTTGCTGAAGCTGACAGACAAGGCCAAAGATGACTCCCGTGGTTAGGAAGGTCAGGATTTTGGAGCCACTCACCCGCTGGCCCAGCTGGCAGGAGCTGCCGAAGTCCACGATCTTGATGGCGCTGCGCTTGGGGTTGCAGAGCAGGATGTTCTCAGGCTTAAGGTCACAGTGGATGATGCTGAGCTCGGGTGTTGCCAGGAAAAGCAGCGCAGTGCATAGCTGCTGGGCAAACTTGCGTGTGAGGTTGAGAGACACACCGCGGAAGTTGGTGTTACGGAGCAGGTCATAGAGGTTGTAGGACAACAACTCAAACACCAGGCACAGGTGGCTCCGGAACATGAAATGCCGCTTCAAGTGCACTGTAGGGTGGGATAAAGAGAGAAGGAAGTGTTGCGGTGGCACCACTAGCACTGCAACTCCACACTCACACTTTGAAACACCCTTGTGACTCTCAAACATTCCTGGATTGCTGAGCATCCACCTGCACTGTTTACTGTAGTCCCTGGGCTTTACAAACGAGTAACTTATGTATCACTAGCTTCACCATGTACACATGTGCCAAGTTCTCACCAATTCTCTTCCTCTTGGGTATTTTTGCCAGGGACACCACACCTCCAACTCAAGCTCTATTCAGCCTCTCATGTAGGCTTCATCCCCTTTCCACCCCCTAGTTTATCTCCAGCACACAATGCCCCTCCACAGCCGTCACCCATCCAAGCAGGTACATTTGAGACCCTTGTTGATGTTCACCTCACCAGTTCTCCCTAACCCATTCATACAGAAGCTGAAAAAACACAGCCCCCTCCCTTAGCAGACACAGTGTTGCTCCCCAGACTCTCACCAATATAGTATTTCATCTCAGTGTCGTGCTGGTTCATGAGCTCTAATAACCGCAACTCAATCTGAGCCTGGCTCAGAAATGCCTTCTTGTTCTTGATTATCTTAATGGCCACCCACTCCTGTGCCTGCTGGTCATAGGCCTTCACCACCTAGGAAGGGGGAGGGGAGAAATAAGCCATGTCACGATCATCTTCTCATCCGGGAGTACCACCACATATTTTTCTAGAGACATAATCATGGGAGAATCACTAGGCCAAGGTAGCAGGGTGCACACGTGCTTCTGCAGGTCTTGGAGAAAGAAGTGTTACTTGTGATGTGAAGGACACCGTAACCTCATTAAAAACACATGTATATGTTTCCACTAAAAAGTGGAGTAGAAACATTTTAACAAATTAAGTCGTAAGTGGCAATATTACTGTGGCTATGGGGCGCACATAACCCTGATTTGGTGAGAGACATATCTGCTGGTAAATAATCTGCATGCTCTGGCTAACATCTGAAAGAACCTGGGGTACAACTTGTCATGCAGTGTGGAAGAAAATACAGAACCGTCCCCCCCATCTCTAACCTGCCCAAAGGATCCCTTGCCAATGAGTGAATCAATTTCGTAGCGCTCCAGCCAGCGCTCGCCATTGCGGACGATGTAATCGTAGTTGTCGTCATCATAGCCCTCATTGTGCACTTTCCGTTCCTTTTTGGTACTGGTGTCCTCTGGTGCAACCTGCAGGGCTCGACGTTTCTTCTTGGCATAATAGACCTGGACGATGAAAGGCAGGGATTAAGGCTCTGGAGAAAATGACCCTCTTTCTAAAAGACAGGGTGCTCCATCTCCCTACATACTCTGCATAACAGCCAGTGCCCCAGGTTAACTCTCCCAGCCATTCCACTCCTTCAAGAAAAGGTAAGGAGTAAAGGAGGTAAGGAGTGGTTCCAGCCCAGGCCATAGTCCGACGGCAAACAATGCACAGCCATGCCAAAACTAAGCTGCTAAAGCCTGGATGGGAAACTGCCTAGGACCCCGTGGTACACTGTCATAATTTCCATGGAAGGAAGAGGGAATATAAATGAATTAAACTATTTAGGAGACAGGGCCACTGATAATGCATCCTGAAGGAAACAGAAGATTCTGTGACACTGAGAACATTCCCGACTCCTACTGTTACATAACAGTCAGAGGCTGCTTCTATGGACAAAGGGCCTCTTACCTCATTGATATGTTTGTATGTTTTGATAAGGTCCACAGACAGCTTACGCAGTGGCGCCGTGGCAGAGTCCCGAAAAGTGAGCGGGATCCTTCTCTGCAGGATAGCCAGGTCTGGCATGATCTGTGTGAGACCAGAAAAAAAAGAAAGAGGAGAATTAGGGACTTGGCCTCACAGCTTAAACAGTCATTGAAGCCACAAGCATAAAGGACAACAGCTACATGGCAACAGTGAAGCAGGTAAGCCATTCAGGCACCTTGCGTTGCAGGCTTGCAACCTTGCTTTTCCATCCCACTCCCCCAGCCTGGAACAAAACATTAGTAGAAAAGAAAGCTGGTAAAGCCAAGTTCATCATCCTCTGAACTTAGCAGACATAGCCTATCTCCTAATCCCCCCCCCATATGGTAGCGACAGTGCTGGCACCTCCCCAGGTGCTCTGGGGCTGCCATGGGTGAAGCAGATCTTACCATACATTATGACTGCCCTTAATGACAACTAAATTTCCCCCCTTCTCGGTGAGGTCTCCCTCTACAAGCCTTAGCTGCAGACTGAACTCAGGGCCTCGATGGGAAAAGCAGCTGAGTCTATGGTGTGAGCTGAAAAGCATGCATCGTTTTTGCATGTACTGAATGAGAAGAAAGGACTGCAGAATGAGGAGCAGCCCCGCAGGAAGGAAGAATAGGCATGGTGTGAGCTGAAAAGCATGCATCATTTTTGCATGTACTGAATGAGAAGGACTGCAGAATCAGGAGCAGCCCCGCAGGAAGGAAGAATAGGGCTCTCCCAGTTATTATTACCTGCTGATGCTCAGCCATGGGCTGAATGCTGGAGAAGGGTGCATGGCTGTGCTGGCTCGACATGATTGTCTCAGTAGGAAGAGAGTGGCCCAGAGAGGCAACCTGGCTGCAGGGCGGCAGCTGGCATTGTGGGTTGCTGCTGCCACCTAGAGGATAATACAAAAAAGATTCCAGTGAAGTTTCTTGTCACCAAGCCTAAAACACACGCCTGCCTTCCCAGAAATAGCTCTCTGCTTTGACCACAAAACACATTCCAATCTGAGAACAAGAGTCAGGGCTCTTGATTTACAGTAGGGGGTGAGGATAAGGGCAGGAATGTAGGTTCTATTCCCGGCTTTTAAGGGTGTGAGAGTATGGATCCAATTTTCTGATACAAACCCAGGGCAGACAACTTCACTCCAGTGATAGAAAAGCATCCGGTCAGTCAGAGGGGCCTGCATTTCATGCAGCTATTCAGCAAATAAGACAAAAAAATGTGCTTTTGCAACACTGAATGCCACAAGGCAGAGTTAAAGCAGCATGGCACATTCATAAATGGTAGCATCTCCCAATTCTGCATGTTTACTTTGGTCATCAGGTTTTTAACTAAGCAGAGTGGCTGGTTATCACTGAAAGCCTGCTTTGTGGGAGGGTGGCTATCACAGCCAGGAAGCAAATGCCAGACCCCCAATTATTTTCCAGGCCCAGGAGTACATACAGAACAACAGCTTTCACTGAGTGAGCAGGAAGAGCTAGAAATGGATAAGCACTGAGATCAAGGAAGAATAGGGAGAGGGGAAGAAAGACTGTGGAAGATTCCCAGCTATTTTGTCCTCTCTAAAGGATAGCTCTCAACTTCTAAACATTTTGGGGTGTAAGGACAGTTTTCTCCCTATTTTTCTTATCCACAGCAATGTATATTTCACACATATACCTTTATCACTGATATATTTGGAGGACTGGAGTCCAAAGGAGCAGGGGAGGGGAGTTGTGTGGCAAGAAGAGGACATACGTGGAGAAGGACTTTGATTGCAGAAGCGTCGGGTAGTAAGAAGGGTAATGAATAGGAAAGTTGGCCAAGGTACACACACCTGTGTGCTGCAGAATGCCAAGTGGGGCTTTTGAGAAGTGATGCCAGACCAGACAACAGGAATGCTATTATCCAGCCACACCTACACATAAGGTCTCTCTTTTTGAATGTAGCTGAAGAGAGGGACAGCCTCAAAGCTCAGTGGAGAGTCAATATTGGTGCTGATCCTGACATTGCCTCAAGTCTTTCAGCTGTGGGTCTCTTCTTCCTCTCTCCCAAGAAACAAACACCAAAAAGCAATACTATGAACACAACAAAACAAGGCTTTGTTTTCTCACTTATAGGGAAGTAGCTAAAAGATCAGTTCTGACAAGGGCTATTGACAAGACTTGTAAGGTCCCCAATAGATGACTTGGTGACGGTGTTGCATTGAAAGGGGTCAAAGAAATGGTGCCCATTCGTAGACAGGCTTGAAACAGTAAAATAAATGTTTCTTGCACATTTCCCAACCTGCACAGCAACCCCAGTACGAACTGCAGCATGTTCCAGAGGCATACTCTCAGCAGTCAGAGAACTCTGGAATATTAGCCTAGGTATGGACACGTGTCAGGTTGGAAAATTCTACATAATGCATCATGTCTAGAAAGTTGTATCCTCCTCCCTCTCTCTGCAGGAGTTCAGTGGCAGAGCATTTGCTTGGCATGCAGAAGTCCCAGCAGAGAGCTGCTGCCAGCCTGAGTAGACAATACTGACCCTGATGAACCAGTGTTCTTATTCAGTATAAGGCAGCTTCTTGTGATCTCCACAAAGGCCTGGCAGTTTAATTCTCACATCATACAGTCTCTTTCTCACTTGCAGGTGCCTCTGGGTCCAATCCTGAGCCCTGGGTACAGGATTCCTGATGTCACTCCTTTTTGAATAGCTCTGGCCTCAAGCTCAGCAGCATGGGAATCATGACAGAATTAAAAACATGTAATTCCTCAACTCTGTTTGCCTGCAGAGCTTGGAAAGGCAGGGATTTCCCCTCCCTTACTCTCTGCTCATGCGGCTTCTCTCCTTCCTCAAAGCAGCAGCAGAGGAGGAAGATTCAGACTCCTAATATGCAGCACATAGAGGAAAACATCCCTGGCACACCACTGCAGTCTCACACTATGCACAGCAGGGGCCATTGCTTCTGGAGCTGCTCCTGACCTGAGGGCTCCTATGCAAAACAGCTTCCTGGGCCTGTGTGAGCAATATAGAACACTATCAGGAATGTGAGGAGGTGCCTTTTTCTAGGCTCATTTTAATCACTGAGGGCAATGTACAGCTCAAACTGGTCCCAGCCACAGGGACTTACAGAAACCAGTGGGCCTCCACCTTTGGACTGAGGGGTTAAGACACACCGAAAAAAGCCCTATGTTGCCCTCTGGCAATTGCTTGTGGACTTCACAAGTAAAACTTGGGACATGCTGGCCTCATGCACAAGTCAGATGGAAATAAATGGGAGCTGTGCAAGAGTACAGTAGCAATCCTGCACAGTAGTCATGTGGTTGTGTTCTTATGCTGCATACATTCATTCAAACAGTACATGTACAGGAAAACTTCCCAGGGGGTTCTACCATACGCAACTCTTCTATTGAGAACTATACAAAACCCTCTTATTTTGCTGATTTCCAGGATGTGCATTTCATGTTTGCAATTGGGACCCAAGTTCTGTTGTCCCAAAGTACATACATGTATCAAAGTACATTACTGCATATATTTTTTTAAAAAACCTCATAATTTTTTTTCCTTCCAAGATAGCAGATAATCAATGGCAGCTCTGGGGCCAAATCTAACTTTGTGAGAAGGGGTGATATCTGTCCCACAGTTTCTAATTCCAGTGGCAAGAAAGGGATATGGATGAAAAGTATTTGAAGTACCAGGTTGTTTCAGGCCATGCCTTGTTCAGGGTGTCCCACCAGCAAAACTAGTTGCTGACCAGCTACACACTACCCTGTTCACAAGAAGATTGTTTCTTAAATAAGTAAATGCACAAATGAAAAACATCTATACATGATAAAGCATTTCTATAAAGAAATGCACCTGATGACTGCATCCACTAATCATGGGAAGAGACTACATGAGGCACAGAAGACCAAATTCTTGACCACTGAGAACTGCAGAGTAACTTTTGAGATTTCATCAAGCATTGTCCTGCACTTTCAATCCTACCTATAAAGGATATAGGCTTGCTTTAAAGTTAAACAAGGAAGCTGAAATTTCTCAGGACAATGAATTCTGCAGCATGTACCAAACACTGCGCTACAGCAAGATAAATGCAGTTTTGCTGGCAAATAAAGAAGATAAACTCAATGTGAAGACCAAGTCTACACAGATAATTCCCACACTTTGATCCTAAGAATGAGAATCCAATGCCAGATTTTGCAGACAGGAGCAGGTCCTATGCTCTGTGGCTCCTATTGAGTTCCATGGGACAAGTGGCAAGCAGCGGGGGCCCTCTGTCTCATGCAAGAATATGTTTAAGCCCTGGAGGGCATGGCTTGGTTTCCTCCCAGACAAAGGTATGGCTTCTACTGAAGTGAACAGCAGAGTCAAGCACTGAGCTTAGAGACTCTATTGCAGGAAAGGCAAAACCAACCATTCACTCCACTCACTGAATGGCCCAGTCTCCAAGTGACAGGATTCCCATGAGGAGTTCCAATACATCTCTGTACAAAGTGTGCACAGAGGTTAACAATACACTCCAAAGGGGCCAATGAAATCAGAGAAGACTCTCCATCGACATACACCCTACACTTTACAAATTAGGCACTTCTCTAGTGGAGACTATAAATTAAAAGCATTTTGCAAATTAAGTGCCATATAAATCATAAGTAGTAATAGCAGTAATATTTTAAAACTGTTTTTATTATTTAAATCCCACTGCTCACATGGGCCTCCCAGCCAAAGGACTGATCAAGTCCTACATCTGCTTAGCTCCAGAAAGGCTGTAGAATGAAGAGGCTCCTGAATCATTCACTGAGACCTAAAAGTAACAGTAAATTAAAAACAAAAATGGGAAGTTCAACTGTAGCTTTTAAAGGTAGCTGCAAGCAGCATAAGCCAGTCACATTAATTTTAGCCAATAGACAAAACCAGCAGACTTGGGCCAATTCACACACCAGCCACGCATGTAGATTTTACACTCATTTGCCTGGGATCACTATATTGAGATGATGATAATAATACTAATGATAATAATGATGGTAATAATACAAATATTAATAATGTGCCATCAAGCTGCAACAGACTTATGGTGATCCCATGAAGTTTCACCTCATCAAGTTTTCAGGGCAAGAGATGAACAGAGGTGGTTTGCCACTGTATTCAGCTTGCAGACCTATTATCTCCCAGACACTCCATTCATGAATGTCTGCCCTCCACGAAATTTCAGGTCTCCTCCTTTATTATCCTAAACTTTGCTATCATGATCTCCATTTTATTAGGCAGCCAATAATTTTTCTGTGGAAGTACGAGCCAAGCACCAATGTTAATACAAAGCTTACTATAAAAAGAGGAAACAGAATGAAGAGGAGCAAGTCTGTGAAAGCTCACCGGGGCCTGTGCTGGCTCCTCTAAGTTTGTGCTTCCAAGTATTCAGACCAAGATGGTAATACTGGCCTAACTCAGACTAGCAGAGCTAGTTTTACTCAATTTATTCCAGCATACCAAGAAGGTCTCAGAATAGCTTGCATTTTTATTCTCACAAGAAAACCTGTGATATTTGGTTCAGATTACCCATGGCTTGCTACAATATGAATGAACTAAAGGGCTTGTGCCCTTCCTTCTGCCCCTTGTATAAAAGGTAAAGGTTCCCTTGCTCGAAAGCCAGTCATTGGGTTGCGGTGCTCATCTCCGTTTCAAAGCCGAAGAGCCAGCGCTGTCCGAAGACGTTTCCGTGGTCATGTGGCCGGCATGGCTAAACACCAAGGCGCACGGAACGCTGTTCCCTTCCCACCGAAGTGGTACCTATTTATCTACTTGCAATTTCTTGCTTTCGAACTGCTAGGTTGGCAGGAGCTGGAACTAGAGATGGGAGCTCACTCCATCATGCAGCACCCGGGTCTCGAACTGCTGAACTACTGACCTTCCACAGCCTGCAGTTCAGCGTCTTAACCACTTGAGCCACCGCAGCCCCTTGTATACACCCAGATAAATTAGATAGTTCTGTTCTGTGGCAAACCACAGTTTACTGTTGGGGGCAAGGATCCTGCAAGCTCATTCCTGTAGCAAAAAACTGTTAATTCTAAACCAAGGTTAAGAAAACAATTCACCCAAGGCTTTTCAAAGTTGGGTTTATGGCTGAACAGGGATTTGAACCTGGAGCTCTCAAAACTCTAGCCACTGGGTCTTACTGGCTGTCCATTTCATGGTACAGACAGTACACCTCCAGGGAACTTGCATCTCTCCTTTCATGCAAGACCTATATAACACCGTGGATGCATTCAGAATATGGGTCTTGGAACCATCCAAAATTTGCAGTGAGTTACAAGCTTTACTTTCACAGCTCTCTTCTCCATTGGGCTTCTACCTGTTCACTGACGGGGAAAGTCGCCTTTTTAGAAATACTGGCATTACTGACCTAGACAATGCTCATTTTAGACATGAAATGCAATTTTATTATCTCTACTGGTACCTCAGCAACTACCACGCTATTCTTAGCTGTAGAAGGGACATGTTACAGTGGCTGGAATGGGATACAGTGGAAGACAGGCCAAGGGAACTAAAGGTTTCTATTCCTAGCTCGGCTATGCTGAGGTACAAAACCCAGTACTGACTTGGCAGGAAGAGCACCTGCTGAGGTCCAAGTGCATCCAATTCCTGGCAACACAGCACCCCTCTAGCACCAAGTGCACTGTGGCTGCATGTTCATTAGGACTAGTCAAACAATGAAAGGCTTTTTGAAGCTGTGCTTCTGCTATGTACGAACCAACTGGCTGAGTGCAAATCTCTGACCAGGGAAGGGCAAAGTTACTGGAGTAATATCCTCCATGAACTTGCTTAGCAGGGGGCTAGAGAAAGACAGTCCCTCTGCACAAATTTAAAATGGGTACAATGAAAGATAATCCAGGCTCTTACAGGTTATGTATATTGATAAGCCTTCTCTCAGAAGCAAAGAGTGGGAAGTCCTGTACAGACTCACCCCAGCTCTGGAGATTTCACAAGACTTTTATTACAGTGAAGATCTACAACTTTCCTCTTTAAAACACTTTCTGATTTTCAACAAGTAGCAACCAAAAGTCTCTTAACGAAATATAACCAGAGCTGGGCATGATTTGTCAGTTTGTTGTGCAAAATACAGAATTCCAGAGTTTGGCATCAATTGTTTAAAATCAGGTTTGAAGCTCAATGCTCAGCAACAAACTTGGAAAAGGTGCAGGCGGTATGCAATAAACTCTTCAGTTCTCAGAGAACGGGGCTCTGCTTTGCAGTTCGGATGTCTAAAACTTCTTGTCATTTGCCCCCATTCTTATCTGCTCTTATCTTTCATTCCCTAGCCCTGCCCCAAAATTCCAAATTTCTTGAAAGCCATTTGGAATCTCAAAAATGGAGTTATGTAAATAGATGCACATTTTGCATAATGTACTCTGACCTGGAATCCCTATGCCACAAAATAAATGCATACAGGCGGAGATAACTCAGTAACAAAAACAGAGAGGTTGCATTCTCCCAGGGCATATTCTTTCTCACATTCAGGCTCAGCTTGACAAGTGTCACAGCTCCAGTGTAGTTCTCAAGTTTTTCATCAAAGTCATACCCAACTATCTCCTTTCTTACCTATAGCTCTCTCTTTTAGAACCTCTGCATTTATAAACAAAGGACTGCTGCTCAAGGCGATTTCCTCCTTTACTTCTAGGAAAAACAGAGTATCTAGCATTTTTCTCACACAAGGACTGGCTTGTAGAGTAATATTTTCTGGATATCCAGGTATGTTGAAAATACCACAAACTACATTATGGAAGAAACTAAATGCACATAGGTGGAGATGCACAAATTATGAAATTATGGAAGACCACTTCCACTGCATGTATGGCAAAAACCATTCAAGGCAAGTCCCAAATCCATAAAAGACCACAGGTGGTTCCTTAGGGACTAAACACAGTTCTTTAACCACGAGGTTCAAAGATCAAACAAAAAAGGGGGGGGAGTTGGGTGCCCCTCACCACACACTCCCCCCCCCACAGAGGTAAACTACAAGCATGTCCCTATGATGCATCAGCTCATCTGTGGGTTCACTCTTTGAAATTCCTACTAACTCAGTCATCTTGGCTCCCTGCCACAGCCCTAGAAGAAGTAAACCCTGACTTTTTAAAGCCTTCCTCTCACTCTGCTGAAGATATAACCTACATTTCCTAGAGAGATTGTGCTCCTTTATCTTCTACTAAAAGCCTCCTCACTCAAAATCCTGGACTTCTTGGTCTTCTCCTGCCACTCCAAGTTCTTTTTTGATACATGCTTCATTTTACATCCACCATGACACCACTAACATTAGAGATTCTTCTCAGATCTCAGACACCAACCTCCCCACCCCTCAGGCAAGAGGCTGAGAGCTCCTTATTTCTTGCCATTAACAGTCTCCGCAATTTCTTCTCCCTCCCCCTGTCATGAAAATAGGCAAGTAACATGCTCCTTAAATCTGCATCAGCTGTTCCTGTTTCACTACCTTGACTCCACTTGTTCAAACAAAGACCCCACTTGACTGATAAGTAGCACCCACCTACCTGTGACCATCTTCCTGTTGTAGCAGGTTGAGGGCAGAAAGCAGGAAGGCTCTTGACGGGCCCAGTGAGTTTGTAATGTCAGCAGCATTTTGTCAGGCACTGTCTCGGTGCTGGAGGGGATCACCATGGAAAGACCACTCCTAACCAACTACATACAATCCACTCATGTTCCGGAACATGGAGACCTCTTCACTCAAACCCACTGCTTGCCCAAGCAAACAGCTCCGCAGATGAACTTTCAGACTGTAACTTGCCCAGGTTGTGCTCCTGAGAGACCGAGTCTGAAAGCCACAATGAGCTAAACCAGAAAGCTGTGCTACACAGCTGTCGCTGCAGAGGCTATGGAAGGTCAGCGGGCGTGTGGAATGCTCTCTTGGCTGCATCAAAGCAAACAGCTGGTTAGGTGCCATGGCCAAGTGGAAACTGATCAGAGGAACAGCTGACAAAAGTTTTCTAAAGACAGGCCAAAGAAATCACTAAGGATAAGGCTGGGAGATGCCAGTTTCTACCTGTTCTTTTTGAAGTAACTTTAGTTCAAGGAAGTCATTTGCCTCCTTGAACTTTTCCAATGGAATGAACTCATTAGCGCTGGTATCTGAAAATCTGAATGGTCCCTGAACAAGCTGTTTCGGTTGAATCCTGAGAGACAGAAGGATATCAGAATAGAAGACGCTCAATCCATGCAAAAAGATTAAAATGTTTTGTAGAAGTAACTACTAATTTTTTTTTAGCAAGTAAGGCTTGCAATTTCAGTACATTTATAAAAAATGTTACATTTATTCCAATCACATACTTGGAGACAGGAGGGGAGGAAGTGTTTAGGACTCAATTCCAGAATTCTTTTTCCTAAAGGAGTAATTAATAATACTAGAGAATCTCTTTGAGAAATTAGGGGTGGGGTGGAAAAAACATCAAACCAAATAACTGAATGACTTCCAAAATAAGAAGTTTTTAAAAATCAAGCCCGTTTCCCCGCAAGATAGAAATGCTATTCTGTAATGGAACCCACCCTCCAAAAACAATTAATTTCTCTAAACACTAAAATAAGGGATATATAGCTATGAGCTGAAACTCCAGTTTGTTCCTAAACCTGTACAGATCACAGTACGCTTCTAGAGCGAAGTTCCTGGTTCCAGCCCCCCCTCCCCCTCCCCCAAATTAGCCAGCGGTCCATTCCTGTTAGCATCCAAGTTCAGGCTCCTCCCATCACCATGAAAATCCAAGCCAGCTGCATACAAGCATACTACTGGTAAGGACAGCAGCCAGGGCATGGAAATCCCTCTTCATTAAAAAAAAAAATCCACAATAAAAAATTTCTGCAGGGAATATCCTAACATACCTCCTCATTGGTAGCCACAGGTCTACATCAGGGGGAGACAGCATCAAGATCTCTTGGTACCGAATCTGTACTTGTTACAAATTTGTCCTATGGTCTGGAGTCCCAACAGCCATGTTTGCAAAAACTTCAAGGCCTAACTAGGTGTGTTGGATACAATCCACCTGTCCCCAATCCATGTCTAAACCAGGGGGTCTGTATATTAATACCACCAAAAGAGAGTTATGTGGGCAATGAGAAATCAAGCAACAAGGTAAAGATGAAAGGTTTATTTTTCCTTGGCCAAATACTCAAATTTTATTTTAAAAAATTATCCCTGACTGATTTAGACATGAATGGACACATATATAAACACAGGAGGACCCCACCTTCTCACATCTGGTTTGGCCCCCATATTGCTTGCTTAGCTCAAATATTCTTCAGGGTGCAAAACAAGCTTAGAAAAAGCTAAAGTAGACACACTCAGCTAACTGAAAGCTATCAGGACAAAATAAATACATTTGCCTAGTTGGTTCTTATCAGATCCCCCTCTTTTGCCTGTTTTTATTTTTTCCCCTCCCTAGTAGTACACTTCCAGAACGACCATTTGACACTTACCGTGAAGGGTCCTTCTCCTCTGAGGACAGGAGGACATCTCCATGGGTTATTCCCACCGTGCCTTTAGGGAGGCAGGAAATGTTTTCCCCCCTTCCTGTTGGCGCCTCCGGAATAGCCCATCTCCAGTTCAGGGACTCCGAAAGCAGAAAGCTGGCCTTGCCCTATATAACTTGAAACGTAACTTCAACATGTAACAACCCAACTCTGCAGGGTTAGAACACCCAGAGGTAACGAGAGAAGAAATCAGCACAGAAAAAATAGAAACAGAGAAAGATGACAGTGGGAGGGCCAAGATGTCCTCCTGTCCTCAGAGGAGAAGGACCCTTCACGGTAAGTGTCCAATGGTCGTTCTCCCTCTGAGGTGGAGGACATCTCCATGGGACCTCCCCGAGCAGTGTCTCTCATTTGGGTGGGTTGTCATCTTCCTCCAATGCCATGACATGCTGAAGCACTCTTCTCCCAAACACCGCATCTGCAGATGCCACTGTGTTGATCTTGTAGTGCCTTGTAAAGGTAGAGATGGAGGACCATGTAGCCACTCTACAGACTTCCTCCAGCAAAGCTCTGTTATAAAGGGCTGCATTGGTCGCCGAACTTCTCAGCGAATGTGCCGTGATGCCGCTGGGAACCTCGTGTCCCGAAGTCCTCTACGATGCAGGACTTCAGGACCGAACTGATCGTAGATCTGGACAACTTTTCCCCTTTGCGTGGAGAGGAAATGCCAATGAACATAGACTCAGACTTTCTCCACGACTCCATCCTTGCAATGTAAATTTTGAGAGCTCTTTTAACATCTAAGGTATGCCAGAGATGCTCCTTGGGATGCTTGGGATGAGGACAAAAGGTGGGGAAGAATATTTCCTGTGATCGGTGAAATCTGGAGTCTATCTTGGGTTGGAAGGTAGAGTCCGTGTGGAGCACCATTTTTAGTCCTTGTAGAACACACGGATGACTTTACTGACAATGCTCCAAGTTCAGAAACTCTCCTTGTCGAGGTGATGGCAATGAGAAACAGAGTTTTCATCCTCAGCCATTTCAGTCCCACCTCTCTGAGAGGTTCAAATGGTGCTTTCGTGAGAGCATCAAGCACAATGTTCAACCTCCACGTTGGAAAACGATGTGTCTGAGGAGAAGATTTGGCCACGGCCCCTTGCAGGAACAATTGAATATGAGGATTCTTGGTAATCCTGAAACCTTCTAATGAAGGTAGAACTGTGGATAAAGCTGCCAGCTGTCTGCGGAGAGTGGAAGCTTGAAGACCTGCATCCAACCCCTCCTGTAGGAACGAAAGAAGAGATGCTACCGAAGGAGACAGAGGAGCCACCTTTTTCTGTCTGCACCATCTCACGAACGCCTTCCAGGTGGTGTTATATATGCGAATCGTGGATTTCCGTCTGGAAGCTATAATGGTGTCCATGACCTGAAGTGAATATCCTAACTGTGCTAGACTGCCCCGCTCAATCTCCACACGGTCAGACATCACCAGGTCGGATCCGGATGCTACACTGGTCCCTGTGAGAGCATGTCCGGAGACACTGGTAGCACCAAGGGCGGAAGAATCGACATCTTTGACAGTGCCGAAAACCATGGACGTCTTGTCCATCTCGGAGCTATGAATATGACCTCTGCTCTGAGCTCCCTGATTTTGCAGAGTCCTGGAGATCAGGATGAATGGCAGGATGAATACAGCAGGCCCAGAGGCCACTTTGTCGTGAGAGCATCTGCTGCCTCTGCTTCCTGGTGGAAATATCTGGTGAGAAATCTCGGTAACTTGCAGTTCATTGGTGACACAAATAAGTCCAGTATTGGTTGCCCAAAATGGATCACTAGCCTGTTGAAGATATTTGGATGGAGGGCCCATTCTCCCTCCTATAAGGTCTCCCTGCTGAGCCAGTCGGCCTGGACATTCTTGATCCCTCTTATGTGTTCTGCCTTCAAGGACGCAACACTCCTCTCCGCCCACAACAGAATCTTCATTGCCTCCTTGTGCAGTTGGCAGGATCGCGAGCCGCCCTGCTTGTTGAGATGAGCCTTGGCAGAGATGTTGTCCGTTCTCACCAAGACATGTTGGCCCCGCAGACAGGAAGCGAAGTGGACCAAAGCCAAGCGGATAGCCTTTATCTCCAGCAGATTGATCGGGAGAGACCTCTCAGTTGGCAACCAAGTCCCTTGGACTGGGACTCCCTCTAGTGTCGTCCCCCACCCCTGGAGGCTGGCATCGGTGAACAGCTCCTTGGTATGACAGACGTAGTAGTTCTTGCCTGATATGAGGTTATTCATGTCCACCCACCAAAGTAGGCTTCTCTTGACTTTGTGAGGAACCTGCAGGTTGATGGTTCTCTTCTGCATGATGTCTAGTTGATGGGGACGAAGGAACATCTGTAATGGTCTGGCATGCATACGGCCCCACTGGATCATGTCGATGCTGGCGATCATGAGACCCAGGAGTCTGGCCAACTCCATGAGAGCTGAAGACCTGCTGCGGTAAACCTGTGTGGCGAGAGCCTTGATCTTCTGAGCCCTGGACGTCGGCAGAGCTGCTGGGACGGGTTGAGAGATCTCTTCTCGAGGTTGATTAAAAATCCGTGATTGCAGAGACACTGCAGGGTCCGTTCGGTGTTCTGAACAGACTCTGACCGTGTAGTGGCTTGGACCAACAAATCGTCCAGGTACGGATGCACATGGATCCCTTGGGCCCCTGAGATGACTCACCCGGTTGATAATCAGCTTGGTGAACAATCTGGGCACCATGGAAATACCGAAAGGAAGAGCTCTGTACTGGAAGTGCTGACCGTATATGCAGAAACGAAGAAATCGTTTGTGGGTGGAGTGGATTGGAACATGGAGATATGCCTCCGTGAGATCTATGGACGTCAAATATTTGTTGGGAGCCAAGGAATCTGCTATCGCCTTCAAAGGTTTCCATGCGAAAGTGCTGCAATCGGATGAATCTGTTCAAGAACTTGAGATCCAAAATTGCCCTCCAGTCTCCGTTCTTTTTGGGGACCATGAACAATATAGAGTAAACTCCCCGGCCTCTCTTGCATAATGGGACTGGCTCGATGGCCCTGATGCTCAAAAGATGTTGTATGGCTGTGTCGACAATGGATCTCTTGTTCACCGATTTGCTTGCAGGCGATATCAGGAACCTCTCTGGAGGTTGCCGAAGAAATTCTATTGAATATCCCTGAGATAAGACTTCCACTGCCGAGGCATCTGCCTGTGCTTCTGACCAAGTTCTGGCAAAGTGGAGGAGTCGTGCCCCCACCGGGAGCGTGGCATAGTCAATTCTGCTTTGACGTGGCCTCTCTGTCTCCTCTATCATTCCTGTTGAACTGAATCCTGTGGAATCTAGGATTGAAGGAACCACGCTTGCTGGACTGCTTGGTCAT